TAAATGCTCTCCTAAAACTAAATGTATATATATATATACATATATATGTGTATATACACACACACACACACACACACACGCACACACACATATACTTCAGCCCTAGTTCATGGGGCTACTGCAAGGTAGAGGAGCCTATAAGAAGTGGAACCTTATACATACATACATATATATATATATATATATATATATATATCCAGAAAAAAACTAAAAACAAAATTGTATCAGACTATGATTATAGCCAATATTGTCCATATTGGGGCTGGAGAGATGGCTCAGTGGTTAAGAGCACTGCCTGTTCTTCCAAAGGCCCTGAGTTCAATTCCCAGCACCCACATGGTGGCTCACAACCGTCTGTAATGTGATCTGGTGCCCTCTTGAGGAAGAGACCTGGTCAGTCATCCTCAACAACTTAGACCATGAAATCCAATATGGACAAGTTCAACAGAACCACTATGTACGGCTGCCCATGCATGCTTCAGCATTGGCAGGACATAAATTTCATTCCATTAATGATTACAGTACTTATAGATGAATGAATTGTTCAAATGATGGAGTTTCTCTGACATTCAAGTTTTCATTTATGAGAATAACAAAAGTTCACCCACTGAGGAATGGTTTCTGAGGCGAATTGTTTTGCCAGTAGCCCATTTCTGCTCTTTCTTTTTTTCCTTTGTGGGTATACTGAATTAGGCAGTTCTAAATTGCTTTTTGTTTTTTTGTTTTGTTTTGTTTTTCGAGACAGGGTTTCGCTGTAGTTTTAGAGCCTGTCCTGGAACTAGCTCTTGTAGACCAAGCTGGCCTCAAACTCACAGAGATTTGCCTGCCTCTGCCTCCCAAGTGCTGGGATTAAAGGTATGTGCCACCACTGCCTGGCTATGGCAGTTCTAAATTGTGAAGACTAGAAAAGACCTATCAATTGGATGCATTAAACACAAAAGGAAGAAATCACAATGACAAAGAGCACCCAACACCCACATCATCATCACCACCAGAGTCCTGTTGGGGAAAGCTGCTCATTTGTTCCTAGCTGCCCAGACCTAAAATAATCACTCAGAAACCATATTATTTACAATACTGTTTGACCAATAGCTTGAGCGTAATGCTAGCTAGCTCTTGTATCTTTGGTTAACCCATTTCTATTAATCTGTATATCGCCACATGGTTGAGTCTTACCAGCAAGGTTCTGGTGTGTCTGTCTCTGGAGGTGGCTACATGGCTTCTTCTCACTGACTCTGCCTTCTTTCTCCCAGTATTCAGTTTAGTTTTCCCATCTAGCTCTATTCTGCTAAGCCACTGGCCTAAACAGATTTATTCATTAACCAATAAAAGCAACACGAAGAAGGACTTCTCACACCAGAGTCCCCAGCAGAAAACTCGTGAGCTAGTTGCTCTTCCCCGGTGGGGTGAGGATGTTGACGAGCTTCATGTTGCTGATTCTACTTTGGGCTATAATTTCATAGCCTGGACTTTGTTTTCATAAGTGAAGACAAGACAGGGCAAGTCTAAAGGCTTATCATTTTTTAGAATATCAAAACGCACCTCCCATTTACCTGTGGCTTCTCTTGGCATGATGTGAGTGTTATGGCTACTCTGTACCTGCCCATTACCACTCCTGGTTTGGATTTATTCCCTCACTTCCTCTCCTTCCTTCCTGATAGTGTCTTGCTCTGTAGCCAAGGCTGGCCTCAAACTTGTGACCTTCTTGCCTCAATCTTCAAAGAGCCAGTAATAACATTTGTCACCCTTCTTCCCTTTCCTGCCCTTACCTCTTTTCTCCCCCCCCCACGTCACTCCCTCCCCCTTCTTTGTCTTCCCCCTCTCTTTTTTTCTTCTCCCCACAATTCCTTCTGAGACACAATCTTGTTACATTACTCAGGCTGGCCCTAAATCCACTGTGTAGCCCAAACAAGCCTTAAATCTGTGAAGCTTTGGCTTCAGCTTCCCAAGTAGTTGGGATTACAGGCATGTGTAGTAATTATTTTTTTTTAAGATTCTTCTCAAGGCATTGTCTTATTTTGAAAAAAGAAATGCTAACACCAGAAACAAAAGTTTAGCCATTCTGGGTCAAGCAGTACCAAAGGATCTGATATAGTGCCTGCTTTAAAGGAAACTTGTTACTCTTCTGCGATAGCAAGGCTTGCTTACGATTATTTTAGGTAAAGGGGCAAATGAAAATCAAAACTATGCATGAGAAAAATCTCCAAACATAAGGTGAAGTCTGATTTTTACCTCCTTTTCTCATGCCAATCAAAGTTAGCTGATCACAAACAGATATTTGATTTTCAAATTTGTTGCAAGAAAAGAAAAATTTTTTAAAATTAGGGGCTAAGAGTACAGCTCCATGATACAACACATGTTTAATATGCCTAAGACCCTGGGTTCCATTTGCAGCACTACAAAAATTAAAAAATAGAAAGGTAAAAATTAAAAGCCCTCTGTCCAGTGTAAAAGACAATATTATTAGTTAGATTATTACAAGTGGTGAACTAGTATCTGGTTTGTCTGCACACAGTAACAATGACATAAGCAGACAGCTGGGGATACATGCCAGACAGGAAGCATGTCTGACTCCTGAATGCAGACTGGATTCCCATTTGCTGAGCTACACCTGCCAGACTGGAAGCCCCTGGTGCTTCAGTCATGAATGAGCACATCCTGTTCAGGGCTTTCAGTCCTTAGGAAGCAGGCCTTTGACTCCACCCTGCAGTGCTGACAGAGAACCAAGTCTGGGCTGACTTCCCTCCCCAGTTTGCCTGGCACTGCCTTTCCAGTACCATCCGGCTTCAAGCCACAGTCTTAGTTATACATGACACCAGTGACCTGGAAGTAGAAATATTCCTCCCATGCTAGAGTGGGAGGTTTCCCTTCCTGCCTCTTTCCCCGAGTTATTCCTATTTCCACCTCTCTATTCCCCCTCTGCACCATACTCTAGAAAAGGATTTGTGAGGTTGAAGAGCAGAGAAGAAAACCTAAGGACCGGTTTGACCCATTGATGATGATTCTGAACTAAGAACCTGTGAGGGTCTTAATAATTTTAACTTTGTGAAAGAAAACGATTCAATTAATGGCTTGACAAAGACATGGCATTGGAAGGCCTAGACCTCTCCTTGGGCCTGGAACACCTATGCTGGCCTACTTTTCATCAGTATACGATCCTGATGATAAAATACCAGGGCAGTCTCAAACTGTTTCCCAGATGGACTTCACTTTAGATATCCAGGCATTAACCACTATTGTTAGTAGTTTGTTCTAAGTTTTGAAAGGAAAAAGAAACCCAGAAAGGGAAAGCTTTAATTTTCACCCATTTCTTAGAAGAGAGAGAGAGAGAATGTGAACAAAGGAGTGAGAAACTATGATGTTCCTTTTCTTTTCTTATAAGACACTAGAATAGATGCCCTGGCTAACAGTGGACACAAACAGGCTCTTACCAAAGAAGGTCAAAGAAACACAACTTTCAAAAGAGCATTTCCCAGTACCCATAGCTCCAGACGTCCTGTGTGCAGGGGAGGGTAGAGCCAGTGTTTTTGGTGTTCCATAGTGGAACATTGCTACACTGTTGGGGTATACCTAACAAGAACTCCAGAGGACAACGAACAGTTAAAAATATATGTCAGAAGGAGGAGAGTGGAGCAGAAAAAGGTATCTGAAGAAATGATGACTGATATTTAAAATATTTCAACAAAAGACAGATATCTGCAGTCTTGAGATTCATAAAGCTGGAAAGCAGAAAGTCCATGTTGGTGTATGTCATAGTCAAATTGCTGAAAGCAAAGATACAGTGCATGTCTTTAAGCAGTGAAGAAAATGATGTATGACAATAATAGACATAATTGATCAACAGCTCACTTCTCAAGAGACACTGTGAGACTAGACGAGAATTGAAAAATATCAATAAAATAGCGAAAGAAAACAAGTAAAACATAAAACCCAGAATTTTTATATTGTATTTTGACTGTGCTTATTATACACGAGCATGTACCTGCCATGGAGCATGTGTAGAAGTTAGAGGACAGCTTGTGGGAGGTGATTTTCTCCTTCTACCTGCTGGACCCAGAGAGCACACTCAACTCATCTGGCATGGCAGCGGTGCCTTCACCCCTGAGCCATCTCACCGGTTGTAACTCAGTATCTGACATCCTGTGGATGTAAATTTACATTCAAATATGAAAGCAAATAACATCTAAATTTTATATAAAATATAAAAACTTGTGGCCAACATATCTGCACTGTAGCTTGGAATACTACAGGAAGCTATCTAAGGGGAATCATAAATGGAAACTGTCTTCAGGAGAGAAGAACCCCAGAAGTAGCAAACGCCGGGTAAGGCAGGGTGATTTCTGTTGGCCATAGCCTCTTAATCTCTTCATAAATTATTGGTTTAAGTCTGTTTATAGTATTGCCATAGGCAGTCTATTAGTGGTACAGGTCTTATGTTAAAAGACAAGTTTCTTAAGGCTTCCTAAAAGATAACATGTTTATCCTATGGGATGGTTGAAATCGGGACAGTTTACTTCTGTCTGTTCCAGCCGGTTGTCACCACAATAGACTTGTTTTGAGGATAGATTGAGTGGTAGGTTTTTGGATGAAGAATGGGACCTTTGAAAATTACAAATGGGAAAATTGAGAGGATCTATATGACTGGGACGAGCATAGATACATGGAAGGGAAAAGTCCGTGATTAGATGTCCCCATGGTAAAACTTCAGTTTATAGTCACAGGCCTAAGAATCCACCCGAGATTTTGGCAGGCGGGGAGAGACAGATGTGACATACATAGTCTACCTCCTGACTCCTTAGTTTTCCACTCTTCACTAATTGTTACTCTTTTATAGAATCGACAAGAATATCTCTGACTTAGGCAGGACTTGCTATTTCATCTCCAGTCCAGGCCGGAGGTGAACCAAAAATAGATTTGGGAGCTTCTGAGGGAATTTAGTTTCAAGATCTGCCCTTGAGTGGAGGAAGTTAATGAACTGGGAGGATGGATGCATCACCTACCTGAATCATGAATACCTAAGGACGAAGGATGCTGAGAATTCTGGGTGGACCTGGAGGACTGACTTCTTCAGGCGTTGGCATTCTTGGTAAACATTGAGTGTCCTGGAATTTGGCAAAAGAAGATACAAGGAAAGAAGAGAGGTGTTGCAAACCTCAAAACAAAACAAAAAAGGACTTTTTTTTCCCATATGAGTGGGGAAAGAAAGATCTAGAAGCAGCAAGAACACTTCTTGGGTGGCTTTCCATTCTTTAGCTTCTTTTTTTTTTGCCTGGGGGCTGAGGATCCCTCACTGCTTCATAGCTTCTGTCTAACCACTAAATGCTTCACGGCACTGGTTCACCTCAGAGCCACACATGTATGGATGGGAGAAGCTAGGCTACCGGAAGTCTTTGTACTCTGTTGTGACATTTCGAACAGAAACCTGGGGTGTTGATTTAGTGCTTGGGATACTGCAGGCAGGCTGACAGAACCCCAATTTGCATCAGAGATAGTTAGCTTTGTAGTTTGTTTTAGGGAGACTTTCAAATGCTCCCTCCTTCCCTATCCTTCTCCTCCCTAGGATCTGGCAGCTTCTTCAACAGAAAGAAGACAAGGTCAACGCTACCATGTCCAGAACATCAAAACACAGTGACACTAGTCAGTGATGGGAGGGAAGTGGAGATTAACTATCTGCCCATTAGGAATAATAATAATAAAAAAGTCAGTTTTACCTTGTAGGCCATCTCTGCAGCACTGTGGTTCTGAGGCTTACACACTTGGATGTGGGCATGGGAAGGGAGCACTGGCATGGGAATGGTAATGGGTGCTTAGGAGTGCTTTTCTTAATCCCAGTGGCTTGTTTATAGAGGAAGAAGCCTTATTAACTGGTCCCCAGGAAGTGAGGGACCTCCTGGACTGATACCAGGGAGTCAGGTGTCTCTGTGTCATGGAAGCTCAGGACCTGTCTGTCAGGTCTTGGTGAAGACCTAATCGAAGAGTTAAATAAAACACTGTGAGAGCAAGAAAAGCCTGTTTATCCCCATCAATGTTTGCTAAATTCCTCTGAGGAGTTGGCTGTCCAGTTCAGTCAGGCCTGAGCATTGCATCAGCGTCTCTTGCAGGGCACACCTGATTCCTTCATCTGCCGCAACAGGTAAAAAAATGAAGCTCCAGGGCATCTGATCTACACAGATCTCTCACATCTCAGCAGAAATCATAGGGATATGGATATTTTAAAAACATTCATTTATTTATGGGATTTCTGAAACAGTTTCTATATAGCCTAGACTGACCTCAAACCATGGTCCTTCCGACTCTGCCTCTTGAGTGAGGGGATTCCAGACACGCCAGTTCTGGTTAAGCGTTTTGCCTCTCAGCACAGTCCCCTCAACCTAAACCTTGAGTCTTAGGGTCCCCCTCCACTACCCCATTTTGCTCATTAGGAACCATCACATCTTCACACCAATCTAAATCTAAAGAAAGCCTTTCTGCCCAGGGAGTGTTGACTTTGTCGACCGGCTAGCCCTAGATATAGATATTTGAGGAGTCCGCATAATAGAAAGGGGTGATAGGAATTCTGAATTTGACTTTCTCCTATCAGACAGGTAAGAATGTTAGCTTCTGCAGGCAGAAGAAATTGGAGCAGTCTTCCTGTGAGGAGCATGCTCTTGCATGTGAACAGGTTTAGGGATGCTCCTTCTCCTTGTTGGACTTTCTCTGTGTCTCTGTCTCTGTCTGTCTGTCTGTCTGTCTCTGTCTGTCTCTGTCTGTCTCTGTCTCTCTCTCTCTCTCTCTCTCTCTCTCTCTCTCTCTCTCTCTCTGTGTGTGTGTGTGTGTGTGTGTGTGTGTGATGGTGAATGGATGGCCGACTCTTGGGTGCGGTTAACTCCTTTAGGGGAGTTCCTGAGAAGGGTCTGTTTCAAAGGTGGAGGCAACTCCTTTGCACCTCTAACTTCCCCATTCTCAGGAAATTCTAGCTCCCTCATCAACGAAGAGACCTTCAGTGAATAAGAAGGTTCCAGAGCGAGAGAGAAAGCAAGCTCCATGTGTGGTCCAACAGGGATGTCCTGAACATCTCTTGGCCCTTTCCAAAAACTTGGGGTCCAGTGTGGCAGGAAAAGTCCCACCCAGCCTCCTCAAGTCACCTCGTAGAGGAGGAGCCAGGTGGGTCGTGGCAGCTCCTGGAAGGGCTGTCAGCTCGGAGGCTTCGGGACGTCGCGGGAAGCGAAGCGCTTCGGCCCACGCCCTCGTGATCCAGGGCTCCACGGTTCCCGGGGTGAGCAGGCACGTCACGCAGTGTCGCGCTCCCCCGCGGTGGGGAGTCGGTGCCCCGCGGCCGGCCGGGCAAGCAAGCGGGCGGACCGTCACTGCCCGCCCGTCGCTCGCCTCCCCGCCCCCCGGCTTCCTGCGGAGGCCGCGGCCGCCATGTTGTTGTGGGGCTGAGGCGGCGCCGCCGGAGCCCAGCGGCCGTGACAGGCTGCGCAACAGGTTCGCTGCGGCCGACCTGACGACTGACCCGGCGGCGGCGGCGGCGGTGGCGGCGGCGGTGGCGGCGGCGGCCGCACGGCAGGGTCTTCCCCGGCGCGGGTGCCGAGGAGCGCGCAGGGGGTCGGTGGCGCGGTGACGCGCGCGAGGCGCCAGGTGGGTGAAGCCGCCCGGCAGCGCTGCTGCTGCAGGGCGCGGGGCAGGTGCGGGCGCCGCCGGCCCCGGGGCTGCACGGGCCGCGCCGAGGGGGCCGCGCGCCGCAGACCGCCGGGGCCCGTTCTCGACAGCGCGTGCGGCCCCCGCCCTAGGCCCGGGCCGGGCTCGGCCGAGCCGGGCGGAAACCTGGGCTGCGGGTTCCTGTCCCGGCCGCGGGGTCGGCGGGCCGCTCCTCTCTGAGGCCGGGACCCTGGGGCCCCTCGGCACGGCCTCGCTTGGCAGGTGACGGCCGCCGCCTCTTACTGAGGGGCGACGCGGTCCTCGGCTTTCCTTAGGGGCACCGGGCTGCGCGTTGCCTTGGAGACCCATTTTATTTTGGTTTAGTTTATTTATTTATTGTTTTTCTTCTCCCCCCCCCCCCCCCTCCTTGGTCAGCGTTGGTGCAGAGTGTCAGGTGAGCCGCATCCCGGTGCGTCAAAGTAGCCCGAGTCAGGAGAGGACTGTGGGCGGATGCTTGGCGTCCACAGCTCGCGTTTTTAACAGCTAAAGTTGGGAAATGTTAAGCGTTGACTTCTGTTCTGCGTTATGCACTTCCAGGGTGTATAGGAAGCACGGCGACAGGGAACCTCGGTCACCAGAGTAAAGTTGATTGCCTATTTAAGGAAGGGAGAAAAGACGCCTGCAAGTGCATTGTGGCTGGGGAAACTAAGGCTGCCAGTGCAGGTGGCTTTCATTCTGCAGATAGGATGCTGTTTGCGAGTATTGGTCACGGGCTGTGTTGTTCAGGGATTGCCCGTGGCCAATAGGTTCGTTTGAAACTTGAACTCATAATGAATAGGAGCATTTTGGATAGAGCCAGCTACTTCATAATAGAAATTGAAGTTAGCACAGAAACTACTGTTTTGTTACACGCTTTTTGGTCCGTTTCACGAGTGTTGTACTCAGGGGAGGCAAGTTGTCACTTGGAATTTTGTGCTGTTAGCTTAATTTCGGTTGCACAGACCGGAGGCCAAACTACATAAGCCTCTGAGAAATTGCTTACTTCTCTCTGAAGGCTTGCTATATTGTCACTGATAAAACCTGAAAGCGATCCAGAAACCTTTCCCACAGCCTTTATACGGATTGATAGGAGGCCTGCAAAATTCAGTTACCTATAGGTTAGGGATTATTCCTATGATTGCCTCATAAGCAAGCAAAGTGAAAATCTTTCTTTCTTTCTTCCTTCCTTCCTTCCTTCCTTTTTCTTAAGGATGCAGAAAAAAGCGTGTTGCTGCTGTTTGGTGTAATACTGATATGCAGCTGAAAAAAAATCTGCATGCTTATAAACATTTAATGCATTTAAGTATTCTCGTTGTTCACCTTTATAATGAAAGGTAGAATAGTTAGTGAAAACTTTACTGAGTAGAATTATACCGTTGTTCAGTAGATCTTAAGACTCAAATTCTGATTTCTCCTGAATATGAAGAAATACGTACACTCAGGGGATTCAATTTGTACTTTAAAAATAAATATGTTTTTACAAAAATATTTAAAATAGCATGCACCCATTACCCAGACATAGGAACTCTCAAGATTTTCATCATCTTTGACATTGGATAATTTCATATATAATCTTAGAACTTTCAGGGATGTGTGTGTTTGTGTGTGTATTAGGGAGTGAACCAACCATTTCACACATTCTGAGCATGCTCTCTGCCATCTGGGTACAGGGTACATGCAGACTTTTTTTTTTTTAGTTCTAATTCATCTTTAATGTAGAGTTTCACAGAGTTCCATCATTTTAATAAAAGAAAATGCATTGTTCATCATCAACTAAACTTCCTTTAGTATGACAGTTTATCTCCCGTGTGGTCATTTATAGCACACTTTCTAGTATTAGAGCCTATGTTCAGTGTTTATATAATTGTTTAAAGCATATGAAGGCCTCGTAGGTAATTAATGTCCTCCCATCAGATAAGTGAAATGTTAAATTAGCATTTAGCTGCTCTAGGTCTCAGAGTTAGTAAGTGTGAGCATCCCATTTCAGGTTAGGATTCTTTTAACTTCAGCACTGATGTTCTCGTACATAACATCTTGGTTCAGGTAAAACAAAGTTATATGGGCATTCTATATATGTATACATGCATATATAGAACATATACATATATATGTCCAATATATAGAGAGAGCAAACGAATTGCCGTGAGTACTCACGTTAGGGGAGGGTGAGCTAGGTTTGTCAGCTCTAGCAGGGACTGCCAGGACTAGGGTTTGCAGGCTTCTCTGGGAGGACAGAAGAGTGCTTCACCATGGAGCTGCATCTGGAGCCCTCGGTTTACACTGCCAGAGTCTCATTATTCAGCACACACAGGCCTCGAACTTATCCCACCTCATTCTGCCCACTGCTGATACCACGTGTGCACCTTCACACCCATCTCAGAAGTTTCACTGTTTGTTTGTAGAACGTTTACGCTGGGCACTGTACATTATTCAGGATATGATAATTATGTTACTAAAATATGATATATTTGTTGTCTAACAACCAGTTTGGGGGTTGATTGCTTTTGTATTTTCAGACTTAGGGAAAATTTTTGGAAAAAATATTTTGCAAAAAAAGGCCAAACAAGGGAAGACTTTTGGGGTATGCCAATTGTTAAAAGCAGATTCCAAGTGTGAAATAGAAAAACAAGAATTGCAAGAATTGCCATCCCCCCCCCCCCCCCCCCCCCCGTCTGCATTCTATGCGCTAGAACCCAGTTCGCGAGCTTCGGGCAAGGGGCTGGAGGTTGAGGAAACACACGCAGAGACAGACCGACACACGGACCTTCCAACACTGGTACCAAAGCCCATCTTTAATAGCACCGTGGAGGCTTAAATACTCTGTGGTCAATGGCCAACAGGTGAAAAATCCCATCCTCTGATCCTCTAGACTAGGCACAGCTTCTAATAACTTCAATTAGAAGGCTCTAGCAGGGAAGAGCAGCTGAAGGCCAGGACTTAACTGGTCCCAACAAGAATATTTCAAATTATTTCTGCAGTTGCATAGGTCTAAAACTGAACATCCATTAGAATGTACTTCCACTCTTGGCTCTTGTTGTTTGTAAGTTTGTACCATCTACAGCTGTTGCACACAGACAGGGGTTAGCACTCCCCTGGGTGAGATGTGCATGTAGGTGTTCTTGAGAAAGAGGAACTGAACCAGCTTTAAAGGATGTGAGGCAGAGAGGAAATGGGGGAGGGAGGGAGGAAACTGAGCAGAAATAGGACAGTGAATAGCCTGAGAAATAATGTATTTTCATAACTCTAAGAGTGCAACATATTTCATTTGCAGTGTTTTGAGAGCTTCAATTAAAACATAACTTCACAGCCAGACCAAGACACTGAGTAACTTTGTTATTTGCAGTACAGCTATTCAGCCGTGTTTATGGCAGACATGTAGGGGTCTACAACCAGATGGTAGAGATTTAACCTGTGGTATTTAACCACTTGTTTTATGTTTTCTGGATCCTTCTCATTGTGAATACATATTCATTTGAGAAAAAGTCTGGTTTAATAAGAATTGCATGTGTAACCATGTTGGATAAAAGTATGGGCTCTTCAGTTAGACCTCCTACCCCAGCTCCAGCTCCGAATAGTTGTATGACTTTAAGCAAGTTTTAAAAATTCTCTTAATTTCTGTTTTCTTCTTTATCTATAAAAGAGGGATAATAATAGAACCTATTTCATAATGTTGTATGTACTACAAAGTTCTTAGTGATTGTGCTTAGGAGAAGTATGTAATAAATGTTACCTGCTATCATCCCAGCTTGCTTCAGTGAGAAATTTCAAGCTATTTTCTCCCTCACTCTGTGGCTCTGTCTCTTTCTCTCTGGTTTGTGATTTATCCTAATGACTCCATAAGAAATTAGCTTCTTCTTTTGGTACTCATTTTCTAATCAGCATCCAAATGAACTCTATGAGAAGACTGAAAATAGATTAGACAATCTGACCTTCAGTTTAGTCTAAGACTCTGCCCCTTAGTTCCCTTAGCTTCTACTGCTTTGGATAATCACTTCAGAGCCTTGGCAGGGGTTCAGTTCTTCCTTGACTAGGAAGAAGCTGGTGTTGAGAGAGGGTAGTGACAAGGGAGATCAGCTGAGGTGCCTGCAGGGTTCACACTGGTCTTTAGGACAGGAGCAACCTTTGCTTTGCCATTTTTTTGCTGCTGCTTGGAATCTTTGACCCCGTTTCCATCTTCCATCTAATAGGCTTTTGTGGCACTTCTCAAATGACTGCTTTAATAAAAATACCAGGTAGGTCAAGTTAATAAATCTTATAATTTTAATAACATTTGGTGGCATTGATTTAGAAATTATTCTTAGGGATTATAACTAATCATGTCAAAGATTAGTGACATTTTCTGTTAGTTACTTTCTTGTTGCTGCGACATAGTACTTGACAAGAAGTGACTTGAGGAAGGAAAAGTTTACTGACGCATGGTTTGAGGGTCTAGTCCATCGCAGCAGGAGAATGAGACAGGTAGTTGGTAGGTAACCACGTCTGCACTCAGGAAGCAGGGAGATGAATGCAGACACTCTGTTGGCTTTCTCCTTTGTACATAGTGCAGAATCCCAGCCCAGGGAATAGCAGTCTGCATTCAGGGTGGAGTTTCCCACTTCTTTGACCTAATCTAGATAATCCTTCACAGGCCTGGCCAGAGGCTTATCTCCTAGGTAGTTGTAGATCCTGTCAAGTTGTCCCTCAGTATTCACCATCATATTTGCCAAGAGTGGTGTGGGTCAAATAGGAGTGCAAAGTAGTATTGCTTCTCTAACCCATTTTTATTAAGATCTGAAAACCGAAGAGATAGAAGAGAAGCCTTCTCACTAGAGCATTTCAGGTTTTCCACTGCTAAATTTTTAGTGAAATGCTTATAAAATGATCTTTTGTCTTGCTGCAGAGACAGCCTGTACTGGGGTTTCCTTGCCCTCCCCTCATTCATTCCAGTAACTGTGACTTGGAGTTACTACTTCCTTCTTCCAACATCTTGGTTCCTACTGGTTCACACTGGGTTCCGAGAACTGAGTAATTTGGATGAATGAAATGTAAAGGACCATTGGATTGGGTTTGGGTAACTGCAAGCCTTTTCTATAGTACTCTCTAGGACCTGGGCTTTCTAGTTTTTGTAGCATGATGGCAACCCCCTCTTAAGAGTAGAGTTTCACAGCTTGGGCTTCTCTCCACAGTGTATCTTCCCTCATCTTTGCCTTTCTCCGTATCATGTAACAACGTCTTTCCTTTATTCCAGCTACTGCTCTCTCTTTGAAAGTTAAAGACAACAGAAGTCACTCATAATTCATAGCATGGAATTTGTTCTTTCACTCCATCGTTCCATAAATATTACATGATTT